TATAGAAAATAAAATTAGTTGTTCTCATCGTTTGGCATCTACAAAAGTCACATTGCAGGTTGCTGAAATATATAATATTTTAATTTGACGAAAATAAATTTTAGCAAACTGTTCAAAATTGTCAAATTTTACTTCGTCTATTATGAGAGAGACAGAATTCAAATGATTTAAAATAAATGAATGGTTTTCTATTATTTCATTATAAGATGCAAATAAACTTTTGACTGATAAATGACAAAGTTGAGGAATATATGATGAAATAATATTAAGTTCATTACAAAAAAAAACACTTGCCAATGATAACAAGATGTTCAATAGGACTTGATGGATTGATACATATAGGCAATGGTTCCAATCGAATATTTTCTTCGAAAGATATTTTAATACTGGTAACTGAAATATATAATTATAGATATTAATTTTATTTGAATCATCACCAACACGAATAGATAATGAAGAAAGGTTCGATAAAGAAGCTAAACTAATAAGAAAATTTTCCAGACATAGCGATTCAATTTTACTAAGAATAAGTATTTGAAATTGAGAACATTTTGAAATGCGTTGTATCGATGAAGAAAAGAAGTCAATAGTGAATGAATTTGTTAACAGGGAAGCAAAAGATAAGTTATGTTAGATGTTGGAATCGTATTCTTTAGGATGTAATTAAAAACAAACATGAAGAAAGTTATTGATATGAATATCTTCTTTACTTCCAGTTCTACTGTTGCTTGATAGAGATGGAATAAATGTTTGAGATTTGTTTGTATCGATGTGCTCTACTCTAGTTGATCAAATCAACAAGAATTCTTATAGCAATTTATATCCATGTATGTGATATAGTGAAATGGCAAACTTCCTCATATAATATTTTCAATGATAGGAAAATTTTAGTTAACTCGTGCAACATTATATAATTATATTTTTAATAATAAAACATTGTGGATGCAAAGTTACTTCTAAGAAAAATACTGCCATGTCGCAAAAACTATTGTAGTTGGTATAAACAGTTAGTTTCTAATAAAATAAAAATGAGAAGAATCTTTTGTTTACATATTTTCCATGACTATAAGTTTTTTGTAATAATCCGAACTAATCACAAAAGTGTAAAAGATATCTTTGACGATTGATTTTCTCTTTTCTTTTAAAAAATATACAGATGTTTCTACAAGAAATTTCAAATAAATAGCAGCCAATGTGCATATTTTTCTATCCATTCGATAAAACATATAGTTTATTTGGTATGAAATTTTAATTCACATTCAAAAAGAAAATACCAATGTTAATTAAATAAATTTTTAAAGAATTTCTAAATCTCGGAAATCTTAATGGATATACTACAAAATATTTACCAGATGATCATTACTAATAATTTATGAAATTTAAATGTACGATTGTCATCTTATCAATCTGGATCATTTATACGTCAATTATACTATTCCGTGTTTAGCGATCTCTAGTTTGTCTTTCTGAACAAAAATACAAAAATATCAATAATATATTTTATTTAATATTGAATAATATCTTCTCACATATTGCAAGCAATACTTCATTTTTGAAAAGTTACAAATAAAATGTTGAATGATTTTACGAGACTGAAAAGGAATTTTTATTCCTTTCATTACTAGGACATCTTGATACGTGTCCAGTCACTCATCCATAACTATTAATGGACAAAAAAGACACTTCTAAAAATTCAGATTTATTAATTTTCAATCATACTCTTTTGTTTTTTGTCAAAAAAAGTCATATGTCAAAATATTTGTACTAGGGACATGCTTGATTGAGCCACGTAATATCTTCTAGGAGAAACATTGATGCTACGATGAAAGTGTTCTCTCATACATTCATACGCACGAACTGGCATATCGCGTCTTGTTTCTTTTATCCTAAATTCCACATTGTCAATTCCATTTTACACAGTCGTTCGACACAGAAATACGAATAAAAGGTGTTTTCTGTAAAGAAAACTGTCAAATACAAACGAAAACTTTGATGATGAACTGAGGAAAATTCGGTTTTTGCTGGGCCTGTTTAACCCTTTACTCCTCATACCAGTTCCAGAAGAGCCACTAATAAAATAGGATGTGGATGTGTTGGGTGTGGGATCGGGGTGTGCGGGAAGAGCAAGGCGGCATCTACACCCGCACCCACACCCTCAAGATGGTTCTTCTATGAAAAAATTGATTATTCTTGAAAATCTTATACAAGTGGAAAAATGGTAGAGTTATGATAACAGGAAAGGACATAAAAATGAAAAAGTTTTATTTTCTCTTTTTTCCAGATCTAAACGAAAGCAGCCAAGACATTCATATCAGAGATATTCATCAAGATCTCTATCGAATAGAATGGTTTTAAACTTGTTCTCAGGGGGCAGGGCACTTAAATATGTTCCCTAGAAAGTAAAAAATCTCGCGTGATATTTAGTGTGACAACTAATTTTTTTAAATTTTCATTTCATACTATATATGAACAAAAACTAGCATAATCCTCTCATCGTCTTTGTCCATTTTTATCTTCTACCCATTGCCTCTCGATCAACACCAATACGACCAATTTTAGACGCGTTGTCACCTGTCAGAGTCATTTTCAATTTCGTGCGACAGCAATTCAAGGGTTGACCGCACATATCATATACAGAAAAAAGTGTCGTAAGAAATGTCACGGAAGAACCCATTAGTTTATACCCGATAAGTACAAAGTGTCAACTGTAATATTAACAAGCTTTGAAGTTCAAATGAAAGGAGAACCGATCGATTATATGGAATTTTCTTCCGATAAGTGGCTGTCAAAATCGAACAATTTAACCTCGTCCTCCTAATATCTCGAGATTTTTCCGAGAGAATTTTGCGATTTTTTGTGTGGTAGTGAGGACTTATTAGAGGATCCTACTCGGAAAAAAAATCATGAAGTTTGAACGAGAGGAACTCGAGATATCGAACTTTTACATATAAGAATTCAACGGTACAATAATTTTGCAATTCATCCATATATATATATTGTGGTCAAAATTAAAATTCAGTCAAATTTTAAATTTGCCCAGTCAAAATTGAAATTTCAATTTTGTCTAGGCGAAATTAAAATCATGTTTTGATAAAACACAGAGCTTGAAGAAATAACAATAATTAGATTATGGATGGGTCACGGATGACAGTGAAGGGTGAGGGTGAGGATGAGGGTGAAACGAAAGTCATAATCTTGTCAAAATCACACACTCATCCTCATTGTGATCCCGCTCATCCTCATCCAGCCAAACCTCCACTCGTGGTGATCCAGATCCGTTCCTTCATCCTCACCACTATTGATGACCCTCTCATAATCTAGTTATTGTTATTTCTTCAAGCTCTGTGTTTCATCAAAACATGATTTTAATTTTGCCTAGACCAAATGGAAGTTTCAATTTTGACTGAGCAAATTTAAAAATTGACTGAATTTTAATTTTGACCATAACATGTAATAGGAAACATTGTCTTCTGATTTCAACACGATACTTTTGGAATTATTATCCAACAAAATCTTACTTAATCTATTCACTTATTTTGATGGTATTAATCTTCTTCATGCATTTTATAGTCTCAATTCTCCCGTCAATGTTCTTCTCTACAATCATTTTCACTTTTCTTCTTTGTCTAAATGTAAATTCGATATGCTGTGTCAACAACATCTACCATTTATTGCTGGTCAAGTTGTTACTCTTACTCTTTCTGAGTACGATACGACTCCAGGACAAATAAATTTGTTTTTCTACTACATATCATCATTCTATTAATTCACTTATTTACGATTCCTCGTATTGTATTACGTCCGTTCATATCAAACATTGATAAAAATTGTCGATGAATTACATTATCTTTATAATCTCATTGGTTTAGCATTGTGCTCTTGTTCTTATCGAAATGATCAAGCTGATATTCAATTAATTCTTGACACTATTTGGAGTTTACCAAAACTTACTTATTTCAAAATTGATATCTCTATTCAAAAACGAAATGTTTTTTTGTATACCAACAAAAATCTCTTCTACTTTCGAATGCGTAGATATAGGAAGATATAGACTAAAAATGAATCAGATAAATCTTTTGTTTGAATATACGTATTGTCTTAAACGTCTTTCGATATGTATTAAATCTAGTGTTCACGATGATTATATACCATTTCATCTTCCCATATTAATCGATTTGTATGTCGATATTTTTCATTCGTCTGAGGCTTCGAAAATCATCTCTCTTTCGCACAATAAACCTAATTTACGACATTTGGATGTTATATTTTTGCCTAACATAATTAATAGTCATCAATGGAAGTAAATTATTCGTAATTATTTGCCAAAACTCAAAGTATTCAAACTCCGAATAGATGATGAACTTTCTGATGATAAAAATATAGAAACACGAGTTGATCAAATAATTAATTCATTTCGAAGTTCATTTTGGATTGATGAACATAAATGGTTTGTTCTATGTCTCTTTTCAGAAATAAAGATTCATGTTGACACTTTACCCGAAGAATTATATTACTACGACGAAAAGCCTTTCAACTTATGATGATCAACATATCTGCATGACAACCAACAAAATTTTTACAATGATATAACCAGTATCTATGATGAAACATTTTTTGATCAATCGTTTCCGTCTGACATTCGTTATCTTTGCATAAAAATTCCTCTTAATGACCAATTTTGGTCAATTGTTCCAAGTTTGAAACGACTGTACTCACTTGAAATATTATCCTATGCTAACACTCTTCAATCTAAATTACAAATCTTACTAAATCAAGCATCGCATCTTTGTCGTTTAAGTATCAGTCAAGGTGCATCATTATCTTTGCAAATGTCACTATTTCAATATAGAACTACATTAGTTTGTCGACTCTATTTAAAAGATTATTGATTCAATGAGGAAGAACGTAATATGTTGAGCCATTCATCGTTAGATGTCCAGTGTAAAATATTTTACATTCAAGTCAAAAATCGTGAAAGTATTATTATTCTTATTAACAATATGATTAATCTTCGAGCATTACATGTTCAATATGAGAATGAAATAGATTGTGGACACATACCATTAATTATGAACGATGACGAATCTCATAATGTAAATATACCAAATGAAGATGAACTTATTCAATGGTTAAAAGATCATTTGCTATCAACGTGCTTAATTGTCAAAGATCCCAACCTTATTAGTCGTATTCAAATATGGATTTAATAGTGACAATAAGATCGTAAAATACAGATGAACATCTTTTTTTTTTTACTCAAGTGTCACATCAATATTTATTTAACACAACAAACAATTCAATTCAAACTGGAATGTTCAATCTAAACAGCAATTAACTTCAACTTAAAGAATTGAAAAATCCGTTAAATAATGGTTCTGTTGTCAAGTCAAAAGAATATACTACTTTTTACAGCCACAATGATTTGTCCATATTCGAGTTTTCATTGATATAAAAAGACAGCGATGTCGTCAACATAACCATCTAAACTGGCTCCATTGAAACGAGTAAATAGGACAAACACCGTCAAAAATCGAGCGCCAACAGGCACGAACCCGTTAGTCTGACGAAAGATTAATGATGTTTGGTCTCCTCGATCATTGGCAAGAACTGGTCCAATACTAGTTGTATTGCCTATTATCTGATTGTTTTCATCGGCAAAAGTTAACGAAACTGCAACGTTATCATTCTGGTTGGTGTAGCCACCAAGCCATGCTGAAAGATTAAATTTCACAGTCTGAGCATCGATGACAAGAGAATTAACATAATTAGTTAAATTGATTGTTTGCCACATTGATGTGGAACTTGTCATTTGTCCATAGAAGTAACAATAACCTCGATCACTGTAAAAATCTGAAGTTAGAAAAAAACAATTCTATATTTGTCTCACCTTGGACCAGGCGTTGTAGATGTCGGAGCGCCACTTATGCTGTTGTAAAAGACTTGCGTGACCGTCCCACTATAGTTCCATCCTGTTGGACTGGTAACACTTGTGCCATTTCTACAAGTACCAGTTTCACCATCACCATTTGTCAGTAAATTTCTATTGAATACTAAACAATAAAAGATTGTTAGAAACTTCCAGTACTGATAATTTTGACACACAACAGTTTTTAATCAAAGTCCGACCAGTAATTTTCTCACTTGTACAATCGACTCTGATAGAAAAATACTGAAACTATGTACTAATCAATTAAAGAAATATCCAAGTTATATATTGGGAAATAGATACATTATATTTCGTGTTGATGATGTAGAAAACAAGAACTAAGCAATGAAAATAAATAATTGTCAAGGTATCTTCGAAATAACTGCAATTTTTCATTCCCAAAATGGAAAAAAAGCAATTCTCTTCTAGATTATTGTAGTGATTACTGGGACATATTTAAAGCGCAGCGTTTACAGAAAAAAAGAGTGTCATGAAATGGGATTTGATCACCAAATATTTTATAGTACAGGACATTTTAAGTTCGTTTATCGTGGCTCTTTATAATTTACAAGAATCAGAAAAATGTGTACAATATTTTTTTTATAAGCTTCATTCACACATGGGCTGTTCAAAACAATGTAAATGCAATTGTATGGACAGCTTTAGTTTTTGTCACTGTTCAGGATATTCAGAGTGAATAGCTCAGGGTAAATTGTACAGAATTCATATAATTTCTGTGTTTCTCTCCACTTAAATAAACTTGTTTTGATTGAAAACTAGAAATTAGATATGACATCGGTGTTAATAGGATTACTTGATAATAGCGTAGTAGTTTCTGCAGTTGTCGTAGTAGTTTTTGCAGTTGTCGTAGTGATTTCTGCAGTTGTCGTTGTTGTTTGTGTGGACTTGATTAATAAACCAACAACAAGTGCAGCAATTGCACTGCCGACAAATAGACAACCAAGCAGATACAAAAACACGCATAAAGGTGAATAGGAACAGCAATTAATGCCAAGGCATCTGCGGAAAATATTTTATCACTACACGAAAAATACAAGAATAATATACTTTAGCCGTCTTTTTCTTTTCTTTTGATGTTTTATATCATGAGTATCTTCAGTGAAATCCGCTTGACTTGGCTATACAGAAGATTGTTTTGATAAAAAAAAGAAGAAACAATCGTCAGAAAAAAAAGAAAGGGACTTACGGTGAAATTACTGTGAACGTTGAATATATTAGTGTCACATTCAATTGCATTTAACTTGCGCTGTCCAGTTGCTGGTAGACATATTTTTATGGTCGATGACTCTTGTGTGAGTTTTTTATAACTGTTTGTGTTTTCTCTCGCTATTTTTAAAGCGCTATTGAATTCATTGTTCCAATCACCATTTCTCCGTCGGTCGCCATCTACCTGTTTTAAAAATTATAGCATAAAATAGTTAAATATATTAGTTTTAAAAAAGTGGCTTCTTTTGCTGAACAGTGACATTGACGAACTTTAGTAATGCTGACAGAACATGTTGTAGTATTTGATTTTTCTCTCTGCTTTTGATTTTCGATTGGTGTTGTTTCATGCAAAGGATGATCAGTAGATACAGCAGAAGAGATCTATTCAAATAAAAAATGTAGAACGATCATAATGGAAAAATTTCATAAATTAAAGTTGTTTTAATAGCCCAACACCTTATCATCGTTCTTGGGATGAACTTTTAATAATGGACGAATTCTTGAACGAATAGTGATGCTTGGCTGATTTTTAGTCTTCGATGAACGGCGTCGCAGCTAGAAAGATATTATTGAAGAAATCGTACTATTGTTATATTCAAGAAAAAAAATGTATCGAACACACATGATTTTGAAAGGATCGATGTTGACGACGACGACGACGACTATGATGAAAAAGTTTAATGACACGAGGTAATACCGGTGCAGAAGGTTGAATTGATAACATTGTTTGTAATCAATAGATTTCTATAATATTTATGTTCGGAATAACAAATAAATACAGGTACACTCTAAGTTAAAATGTGTCGACTTTTTCCGTCGTAAATTATAGTGTCGTGGGTTCCAGCAAGAAAATGTGTCGCACTTTAATGTGTCGTATTTTTAACCGTTCTGTACATATATGACGACTGTTCATTCACCATTTTGTTCCGTGTGTATATCTATATATAATCTATCTGAACTATCACATGAGAATCATAAGTTTTCATGCACCATTCTATATAATATATTTCTCGATTATATATTTCTTGTGAATATTTCGAGAAATAATGACCTCACTTTAAGAGAGATCTACCTGGCAGTAGTCTGATCAAGATCTGACTAGTCTTGCACAGTTGGATCTCAAGATCAGACTTTTTAACGGTGTTGCATCAAACACTGATGTTAATTCTACTAATTAAATATTGATGGATATAATGCATCAAAGAAAAAAAATTATAGATACGGTGAAACCTAGGCTCGAACCGCGATTTCAGAATGTGTCGGATGTGTCGTGGGATAATGTGTCGTACGCTTGCTGGAGAAAATGTGTCGCAACGAGCACCTCGTGTCGTGCTTGAATGTGTCGTGGAATATGTTGCGAATCACGACACATGCGACACATTTTAACTTAGAGTGTAGAAATAAATATTTTGCTAGTCGAAGTGTATTAATGTTTTGAAGGCACGATTGTACGTCTCATGTTTCTTTCGTAGCTGGTGTCGACTTAATGTATCGCAGGAAAAATAATCGTTGAGCTTTACATCACATTACACTCACACACCTCGTAAATTAATACACCATATATGGGTTCTTTTTCACTTGTCCAAGCTGTAATTTTGATTATTCAATTTTTGAAGAAAAAAAATCTCATTACGTTGCAATAGCTATGCATCATCATCCAATTGAAGCCAAGGCATATTAATCGAATTTGCCATTCAGTCAAATAGTCGCACAACACGAAAAGAGACCGAAATAAAAATTTCGAAAGAGTCGATTTCTTCAGTAACAAATACTATTTAAGTTTGATTATTATTTCTGGTTATGTTCATAAGAGAAAGCGACAAACAACTTTTTCTGTTCGCATCATCATTCATAGAACAAAAAAGAAATTTAATTACAATACAATGCATATTTTCAAATTATCAATTAGTTATTTTAATATAGTTAATAGAATAAATTCTACTTGATGATTAAATTTTTTAGCAGGTAATAATGTTGGATCAAGTTCCTTTTTTTTCGATGGAAGGTGATGCTAAAAATCAGAGATGTCTGTCGCGGCTGAAACAACAACAACCATTCCAATGTTACTTTAAATGTGGTACTTTAGATCATATAGTTCGTTATTGTTACCATTTCGGAAAGCGAAGTCAACGATTGATAGTATTGACTTCGCCAATTCATCTCTACATCCATCCTTTTCTTTTTCGCTGCAATGTCATTGTTTTGTTCATAAATACATCAAAGAGAAAATGTATAAAAGAAAGAATAAACTCGCTTAACTTGTCAATTCTAATTCTTTGAAAGCATTCATTATCGGAAAGTTACATTAATAAACCAACACGTAATCCAATTATATACTGTATAGATAAATCTTCATATATATGTAGCTGAAAATCCCATGAGATGCCTAATTCGAGTTCGAATATAAATGGAGCTTCAAGTGCTTGATATCACTTCGAATATAAAAAAAAGGCACCCATATAACTACGGCCAAAAAAGTAAAAGATAAA